TCTCTTACCCCTCCTGCTGCTTTCTTCTTTTCTTTGCCCTCTAATCTCCCATTCCATTCCTCCTCCTCCTCCTCCTCCTGCCTCCCCTCCTCCTCCTCCTCCTCCTCCTCTTCTTCCTCCCACACCATCTCCTCCTCTCCGCTTCCTTCCTTGTCCTCCTTCCTTAGCCTGTCCTCTTCTATTAGCTTCTCCATCCTTCCACACCATTTTCTGCCGCCGAAATGTTTCTACTCATGCACATCTTCGGTTTTCATCGTGATCTTTTCCCTTCTCCTCTTTATTCTCTTCTTCTTTTGATAAGCCAATGGCTCATTGCCTTTCTCTTTTTGTCTATACTTCTTCAGTACAAAAGTGGCTCGTCTCGCCCTCAAATCTTGCCCTTCTACTTGCCTCGATGCTCCCGCCTCTCCTTTATTCCTGTGTCTACCATTATTTCCCTCCCTATCGTATTCGCAATAGTAACAATATTATTTATTATTTATTATAATTATTATGGGTATATTGTATTATGTATTGTAGTTACTATTGCTGTATATATTATCTATTGTTGTATATTCTTATTATTTATTACTATTTTTACTATTTATTATTATTATTAGTATTACTTAAGCTGTTTTGGTATAGAGCCAATCAGAATTTGGTAGTAAATAGATTTCGTATTTAGTTAGCATTATATTTTACTGAAACGCTTCAAGTGCCTGTGGCGTGCAACGTGCAGAGCGTGCAGCGTTACACGTGATGATCAGTATACTTGCCGGAGAAGGCCAGGCGAAAGGCAGGAAGCAGAGGAAGACCGGCGTACAGACCATGATCAGAGTCCTCCTGAAGGCCCACAGCTCTGACAGCAGCGGCGTCCTCCTCCTCAGACCACGGCTTGGCATCTTGTTGCAGACAAATAGACGAGGCGACACACACACACACACACACACACAGTGCTTTCGGTATATGACCGTCTTATAATTCCTTATATCCAGTTATCGACGCGTACGTACAACTGTTATATAGTCTAGCGGTGGGTTTCGTTAAGCGTGAGTGCGAGGACAAGATTGAGGGGCACACAAGACAGCATTTGTAGTAGGGACACACACACCCGCACAACAACACACTGAGGGCGCCGTCACGTGCTGCTTGCTTGCTCCGTTGTTACAGGACGCTCACGATTCGCTAGGGTGTTGGTTCTGGGGCAAAGCCGCAGGGTCTCGCTTTCGCACCCGATCTCCAGTGGTCAACAGGCGATAAATCACCCCGCCTATGCTGGCCAGTGGTCACTGCTATTTAAAGCTATTTACGCTCCCCCACCCCCACCAAACCCACCAGGCACCGGTCAATGGTAACAGCTGTCCGGTTTTAGTCGCTAGCACGGAGAGGGTCTATAATAGTCATTGTCGCCGTTTATTTGGGTTGCAGCCTTCGACTAATTTGTCCTTGACTAAGCAGTTGTATCAATATTCTGGTGAGACAACGCAGGAAAGAGTAACACAGTGGCGTCGGTACTAATTATAGAGCCTATATACCCTGTACTATAGTGCTATATATATATACTATATAGCTCGTCAAACAAATATGTAGACCATTATCAGCTCTAATAATTTCACTTTGACCCCAGCATCCCGCTACAATCCCTTGGCTATGCTAATGTACATAGAATGGCGCTCGCGTTGCTGGTCGCCGTTGCCAACCAATGTACGTTTCTTCGGCCAATCTTACACGCTCTAAATGGGCAGAGGGCACGTGCAAGAGTGACAGGCTATTGTCACAATATAATTGATTTTTCATTAAAAATTTGGTTTTTGTTAAGCAGGTGCCAAAACCTTTCTGAATTTCAATAAGATCTGTGTTCGCGCAGACGATTTTCTCACAAATAATTGTGACATTAAGAATAGATCCCTCGACGTTTTGTTTTCCCCTCAGAGGCGCTGGTGTTCCGATTGAGCTATGTCGTACTTAAGTGCGTTAGATGCGAAGACATGCAGGAATGCTGCGGAACGAGATCTCTCGAATTTGACCGCACATGCAGTGTAGGCCTACACATATGTATGCAATGACACGCTAAACTTTATTACACATTATGGTGTGTCATTATCTCTCTCTCTCTTTCTCTCTCTCTCTCTCTCTCTCTCTCTCTCTATATATATATATATATACTAGCCTGGTACCCGGCGTTGCTCGGGGGAAAACGCTTAGGAATAACTTTTAAGTGCAAATTCAGCCACACAGACTTACTTAATTCTAAAAAAAATTGCACCCCCCCCCTTGACACATACGATCCCCGTCAGAAAGGAAAGAGAAGCGTACTGGATTCACAATCTAAACACTATCCAGCTACACGGACTCAATCTACGGGTAGAGATTCTTGGATGGATAGAAGACAGTATAATCACCGTCCACCAGCATGTTTACAACGCAAGGCTAATTCTCAGCCGACACTCTAGGGTAGCGGGTGGCTCGGTTTACCTTTTTATAACTTTTTTTTTTACTTAATTATAAGGATAGATTCGTAACAGAGAAACAAACAAAGCAATAAGCAATATTCTGACAAAAACAGTTCGAACGATTCTATGATTCTGTGTAGTCAAAGCTTCTGGATATACAACATGTTATGAAATTGCGACAATTATTATGAATATGGCCTCTCTGGCTTGCAAGTATCGTCTCGCCTTTTAAAATACACAATTGGTGACATTTGTCACATGTCTCTCTTATCATTGGGATTCGCTTTACATCAAGATAATACATGAAAATTAATCTAAACTAAATACATAGGTCAATAAACTAAACCCGTCAATATAGCACGGTATCAGTTCAGGGTCAATTTCATCGTAAAATAATGAGCAGATTTAAAAAAGTAAATATTTCTCCAAACATATGCATATCACCTCATTTTACCCAAATTAGTTGGTCAATTTGGCAGAGTTCTGCACCAGTGAAGTCACCATAGGTGACATTATCAAAAAGATGAATAGTACCGTGATTTTAAAACAAACTTAATTCTTTATACCATGTTATACATTATATCCGAATGTAATCACAGACAAATTACAATTTTAAAAATACAAATGAACGAAAATGAACCACTAAAAGTGTGTGTTATGCTGCTTTTGAGACTCAACTGACAACTACGTGCATAATAATTTTTTTTATAAATTTGGCATAGTTTAACCTGAGGCGTGTTCAGGAGAGCGAGCGCTCGATGGCGAACGCTCGATGAACGAACGCAGCGCCTCCTGAACGATACACGAGCGCTCGCTTGTGCGCTCGCTGTGGCGCTCGCTTGATCAAAGATGGGCCCCCATGAAGGGTTACTCAGCAGATTTTAATTGCGAGAGAAACAAGTACTGTTAAACGAATTAGCAGACGAAATTGATACGAATTGAATTTGAAGTAAATGAATGAATGAAAAGTGAAATAAAGTTGAAATAGATTGCAAATTGACGTCAGAAATGTTAGATTCGCATTCGCCAGATTTTTCGTCGCCATCTTGAAAACAACCCGCTCGCTGAGCGAACAGCTTTTGAAACTTGCGCGCAAACGTTCGCTCGCGCTCGCTCGCGCAGTGTCGTTCAGAAGGCGAACGCTAGCGAGCGGCGCTAGCGAGGCGTCGCTCTTCCTGAACACGCCTCTGGTATTGACAAAGTTTTAGCTTTTGTCCGCTAGATGGCTACATTCGCGCGAATTCGGCTGTTCTACCTTTCTGACATCACCCCACTGCTAAAATTATCGACATTATATCTACAAATATGAGTGGATTTAACGAATATGGATAAGCCTATGTTGGTGTCCGTCACACGGGCAATACACTGAGATCGGTGGCGTGGGCTTGATGCTCACCGCGGCGAAGATTACCGCGTCAGAAAATCGGCCTCTCCTCTCTTATAATATAGATGTGTGTGTGTGTGTGTGTGCGCGCGCGCGCGCGCGCGCCGCGTGCGTGCGTACGTGCGTGCGTGCGTGAGTGCGTGCGTGCGTGCGTGCGTGCGTGCTGTGCGTGCGTGCGTGCGTGCGTGTGCGTGTGTGTATATATGTCTCTCGGTGTGTGGTGTACTTGCGCGTAAGTGTGCGTGTACTTGTACGTGAGTGCGTACGTGTGTACGTGCATGCGCATGCGCGCGCGTGTGTGCAAAGTATTTTGTGAAACAACATTGTAGAAATATGCAACTATTTCCAAGGACTAATAATTATTTCGCACGAGCCCAAATTTTATCTAGACCAAAGTCAAAAATATCCTTTAATTATTGCTGCCACTAATTCGAAATCTCGGAATGAATGCCCAGATCTAAATCCTCAAGAATCCGGATTGGGCACTATAAACAGTACAATTGTAAAAGCAGATTGATAAATGGGTGATCTCCGAGTCTACTGATCATATCATGTGATTTAATGCTCAACATAAATTCTGTTTTCGGTAAATGGAGTTAAGTAAAACACGTGTGGTTTGTCGGATAGGTGACTGCCCAACTCGGAAACGTGTTGAATCCAAAGGCGAAGTATCCGTACGTATTGATCGAGATACAGAGTATGCTGATGCAGAGCAGATTCGTCATGGCCCCTGCTTTTACCTGCGAATTAAGGTAGTGTCATGGGTTTTATTAAAACGTCGATCTAAATGACGAGCGTTCTCCGATGAATCTGATTATCTCACGGCCTAGATTGAAACACCTTTCACTGTCCATTACGGGTTACAGTGACACGTGATCAAATTAAGCCAAACTGGCCTTTTAAGCTAAAACTAACATGCTATATATACCATATTAATAAAGACATAACATATATATATATATTTATTTATTTATTTATATATATAATATATACTTTTACAGCGATTGCTCTACATCTTACAGGTGAAGGCTAATAGGCACGACACGTGAACTTAACGAATAACAGCGTTAAACTTTTCATATAGGTTGTTCACATCCTAAACTAACTTGTTACCATGTCCCATATCATTAGGAATTACAATAGTCACCATGTCCCATATCATTAGGTTACGATAGTCAGCCAGTCCCATATCTTTGAGGCACTCCGTAACCGAACACGATGGGCGTTTGGAGGGGTTGCCGAACGGCAACATGAACGCGAAGGAGCAGGCGATCGTGGGCGCTGTAAAGCAGGTAGTAGGGATGTATGCACAGCGCCTCTGCCTGAAACACGAATATAATCAGTAGGCCAGAGAGAGGGAGGGGAAAAGGAGAAAAAGAGAATAGAGGCAGACGAGAAGAGGGAGGGGAGTGAAGAAGAGAGAGAGAGAAAAGAGGAGAGACCGACAGACCGAGAGAGAGAGAGAGAAGAGAGAGAGAGAGAGCGAGAGAAAAAACCAACACACGCGCAACAGAACGAATGTATGTTATTGCTTACAGTCTAAGCGCTCATCGGATAGAGCTCCATCTTATTCCTAAGTACATCATCATCATCAATGCGTAGCGGAGACGGCTACATCATCGTGGCTTTTACCCTGTTCTACAGAGCCGTATATAGAGATTACGCAGATATAGAGATATCTCTATATACGGCTCTCCCTGTTCTGCTCCCGTAGCGCACGTAGTGAGATTCTAGCAATTACAGTGGTCATTACCAGTCGGCGAGTATGGGTATCATGATGTGAGGCCGTGGCTGCGTTGCTAGCCGTCTCCCGTGAGAGAAGCGACGAGCAGGCAGAGAACGAGTACGACAGCCACGCAGGTAGAAGCATCCAACACTCGCAGTGCTCGCCGATCAGACCGCGACAGACCCGACTCCTGTTGGAAATGGAAGTTTTCTTCTTGGAGTAGATATTCCGAGCTCAACTAGGTGTTGATCATGCTGACTATTAATTTAGCTAAAATTAAATTTTGCTTAAATTATCTAATGCTAAGCTAAAGGGTGTATTTAATACGATTGTGATTAAAAATGAATCTCTCTGAAAAACGAATACAATATATTTAATTTTTAAATAATTATTAATACAAAATATTATATAAACTACAGTGATCTATCACTGCAATATGAAGTGGACATGCGCACTCTGCAAGCTTTATGAATGTGGTATATTAATATATATATATTACGTACCGAAATCAAACTACACGCGCCGAATATATTCATATCGAGGTATCGATATCAATAATCTACGAGCAATGATCTACGGCAAGTAAAGCAACGTTCTAATACCTGAAGCCCGTCTGCCAGGGCGAAGCCGCCTCCATGAGCAGCACTATGTTCCACGGCAGACTTACTGTTGATAGTGTTCCAGATGGCACTACGGTGCTTCTAGGCCCAGGCTGGCTTCATCTATATAAAATATATAATAGTAGTAGTAAATCACACACGAACACCCATGTAGATAAAAACGAAGCCATTCCAAATTTCTGGCTTGAACCTGTGGTCTCGAAAGCTTGTATTTTTTTACACCTCTCTATAGTTTGACTTTTTATATATATATAATATATATCTATATAATATAAAGTTGTTCAGCCGAATTATCTGTTTTCGCGCATAACTAGAGAATACGTAGCCTAGCGGAAAACTAAGATATATTCAGAATCACCACGTCTGGGAGATGGTTCTGGCTAACACAAAAATGTAAAAGTTAAAATTAAATTTTTTATTATTCGTTTATAGATCGCGGTGCGTACAGGCCTAACATCTCCAACGTCTCAAATCATGATCGGTAAACCGTACCGCCCAGTAGCCGATGCATAAAGCATTGGCTCAAAAACCATTGATTGGGTGTTCGAATCCCACTCGGGGAACTGCTGTTTCTTTACTTTTGGATTGTTTAGTATGTACTCTCTGCCACTTCACCGTTAATTTCAAAATTTAAATTTTTTTTCATACATTTAAAACGTTTAGTAAAAATCCAGAATAAACTATGGTAGATGATAATAATAGCGCAAACTGACGGGAACACTTCACGGAAGCCTATGTAGGTTACAGATCAAATATTTTTATATTTTTTTATATAATTTTCTTTCATTATTTTTATTTTTAATTTTTAATATGTTTTATCTTTTGATTTCTTATTATTTTTTACTGTTTTTACAATGAACTTCATCGTCAGCTGTGATGTGTGTGTGTGTGTGTGTGTGTGTGTGTGTGTGTGTGTGTGTGTGTGTGTGTGTGTGTGTGTGTGTGTGTGTGTGGTGTGGTGTGTGTGCATGCATGTGTGTGTGCGCGCTCGTGTGTGTGTGTGTGTGTGTTGTGTGTGTGTGTGTGTGTGGTGTTGTGTGTGCGTGCGTGGCGCGCGCGCGCCGTGTGTGTGTGCGTGTGCGTGTTGGTGTGTGTGTGTGGTGGTGTGTGCGTGTGCGTCGTGCCGTGCGTCGCGGCGCGCGTGTGTGTGTGTGCGTGTGTGTGTGTGCGTGTGTGCGTGCGCGCGCGCGTGTGTGTGTGTGTGTGTGTGTGCGTGTGTGTGTGTGTGTGTGTGTGGCGTGCGTGCGTGCGTGCGCGTGCGTGTGTGTGTGTGA